CACCCTCACCCATCGAGGCCGTCGCGGTAGCGTCGGCACCACCGTCGGTAGCAGTCGCAGATGCACCAGCGTCGCCGCTGCCCGACTCGCCGGCACCCGACCCCGACCCCGACTCCGACCCGCTTCCGGAGCTAGAGCCAGCGCCAGAGCCGGAGCCCGACTTCGAGCCAGCACTGGAGCCCGCACCGGACGAGCCAGAGGAACCGGACTCGGATCCGGAGGAGCCAGAGCTCGAACCCGAGCCCGACATGGATGAGCCGGAGCCCGAGCTTGAGCCTGAACCGGAGGCCGAGCCTGAGCCTGAGCTCGAGCTCGAACCGCTCTCAGCGCCGCCAGCACCAGCACCAGCACCCGAGCCAGAGCTCGAGCCGCTAGCACCGGAGCCCGACTCGGAGCCGGACTCAGAGGAGCCAGCACCAGCACCAGCTCCGGAAGAGCTAGCACCAGCACCTGAGCCAGAGTCAGCCCCGGAGCCTGAGCCTGAAGCAGCACCAGAGCCCGAGCCAGAGGCCGCGCCAGAACCGGCGTCGCCAGAGTCGGAACCGGTGATGCCACCGTCGACACCAGCGGCCTTCATGCGCGCAGCGGCGTCGTCCTTGCTGTCGCAGGTGACGCTGGTGCCGGGCTTATTGACGAGGGGGAGGGCCACGCAGGTCGTGCCGCCGGAGCACTGGGTGGTCTGGAACTTGCCGCCGACGCACTGGGCGAATGCGCCTTGCACACAGGCTTGGTCGCCATCTATGACAGGGAATGGTCAGGTCCGGTGGCAAGTGGTACTAGGAAAGCAAGGACGTACCGTTGCAGGAGTCGTCGGCGGAGAGGGTAGCGAATTTCGCGTTCAGCTTCTGCGCGTCGAGCGCGTTCTGCTTCTGGATGTCGGCGGGCGCGGCTTGCGCGAAGACCGCGAGGGAGATGAGGACGAACGCGGAGAGCTTCGTGGAGAACATGATGGAAGAGTGCTGATGAATATGAAGGGGTTGTGCTGGTTGAAGGTTGTCGATGCGATGGATAGAACGAGCGAAGAGTTGCGGTTGGCGGAACGCGAATGAGAGCACGAACGACACGGCGTGAAGTGGATCAGGAGAGTGTAGTGGACTGGGAGATGAGCACCGGGCTCAAGGGTTCGACCAAAGGCGATGGGGGTCAGTAGAACGCTTCGCGAGCCATCTTATATACCTCGAAGACCCACATCCAAGAGGGTCCGTTCTCGCGAATTCGGGGTTCCCACTGCACAATGCCGCCTTCGCTGGCCTCTGCGGACGTCAGCGCCAGAACACGGACCACAAAGGGTGGTTGCAACCCCCCGTTGTCGGGTAGCAGCATCGCAGTTGGAGCTTGTGGAGTCGCTAGAGGGAAGAATCATGCAGCGCCTTGTTCCAAACACGCGCGTGCGCAGGATGCGTCCTAAAAGCGGCTAAAAGCAAACAGGCGAATGCAGCAACCGAGGCGTCTTGCTATGCGCTCCGTCACTGAAAGAAATCCGGGGCTCTTCGTGAGCGGTGGTGATGCAACATCTGTGCTGCCAGCGGGAGTTGAGGGATTTAGACGCACCGAGGAGCATCGCGACCGAGGGTCTGCTGCGGACGGAGACCGACGCATGCTGCGCATCTTCGCAACACTTCTTCAGATCCCAGTGATCTGCCTGACTCGCGAATGTAGCGGACTCAGGGTCGTGCAGCTGGTAAGTAGTATGTTGACTTGGAGAATACATGTACGACAGTTTTCCCCGCAGAACAACAAGATGCGTAGGTTTTCCTACTCACCCAGGTATCGTATGCTCCTGTAGCTAGCGGGTTGTCAATGGTAGAGCGAGGGCATCACAACCTACATGTCCTTCGTTTCCTAACCGCTGTGGAGCATCCATGGTGGTAGTGAGGCAAGCCTCGTCGATTGCGAAATACCGATGGTAATCACCAGTGAGTGTAGGTCATGGATCAATGCTACGGGGATGTCGCGAAAGGTCGATGATCGCAGCTGTTTGGCACTGTTGGATGCGATCGCAACAACTCGCCACCGACCAGAAGGCGCTGCACAGGTGTACGGGTAGTCCAGGTCGCCCTCTACCGATAAGTAGACAATTGGGGTCTACGCCGAGACGTCGACAGTGGTTTGAGTAGCAAGCCAACTTTCATAGTACACGCATTCCTGCGGATTGACAGGTCCACCCTCCTTGCAGAAGTCGAAGGTAGGGCAGCGTAGGCAAGGGGCTTGGCCGGTATCCGACGACGGGATGCGCTCCTCACGGATGGCCCGATACACAACTCCTACAGAGTGCAGATCTTCCGCACCGTATAGTCCGCCGCGAAGTGCTGAGGCGCGACGATGTTGCACTCCGTCCTCTGAACCAGTGTCGCTGGAAGTACCCTGCACAGGCTCAAGCTCTGCCCTCTTCTGAGCGGGCTCGTCGCCTGCGACATCTGTGTCACTGGTCCGATGTCTCCGTCCGCGGTGCGTGTCGTCGCCATCATTCCCCTTGAAGCCGCGGGCCCGTTTCCGCTGACTCGGGCTCCGGTCATCTTCTGACGACTCGACGCTGCGTTTCCGCTTCCCCAAGGCTTGTGCAGACGAGGAATCTTCGTGTAAGTCTTCTTCCTCGGACTTATCACTGGGCGGTGATGTTGGGACGTGGAGTGCGGGTATCTATAGTGAACTATATGAGCCACACTCAGAGTCCCGTCGAAGCGAGGACACGTACCTTCTCGATCTTGCCGTCTAACACGAGGACTTCGAGCAGCATCTCGACATCCTCGACAGTCAGCGTAGTCTCGGTGACTCTGCTCTTCTGCAAGAAGGTCTATACGCCATGCTGAGTCTTGATGGCGCGCGGTCCCGAGAGGGAGGACGTACCAGAACTTGCTGTGAGGTGGCATATGGCGCGTCGGATAGCGGGTAAAGTCGCCTGTCATCTGAGCCCTGCCCACGCCTGGCTTTGGCGAATGTCTGGTGCACTTGTCAGACCGACAGCCCTGCGCAAGTGCAGGCTAGCACAGCGTACCTTCTCCCGGACGATCTTCAAGCACACCTCTGACAAGAGCTTGATGAACTCGGTGTCAAGTTCCTTGTCGGTGTACCACGGTCCGCCAGTCAACTCCGATGCTGGCTGAAAGCTCGCTAACATATAAATCTTGCGTGTCGGGTGCTATGAGAGTGGGTTTGAGAATTTGTTGTGAGCGGGACCTCACAAGGTACCTACCCGCACGTCAGGAACGGTCTTGATCAGCTGCTTGTGTGTCAAAGACTTAAGGCATCGGTCCACTATTGTCTGGTGAAGCTGAGTCTTGACCTTGATGTGCTTCGTCCAAATGCCTGGTGTGTGGGCATATAGTCAGGTCGGGCCGGAGTCAGGGAGCTGGCGCGCCCACGAACCTTCATTGCCAGCTGCGCGAATGCGATCTAGGACGAGGGCCTCTTCATCGTTCAGACCCTTCTTCCTGTGCTGGAAATTACTGGGAGGTCGCATGGTACGGCACATCACCACTCACAGGTTCAGCTCTTCTTGACTGACCGCTCGATACAGTATTTGGGCGTTCTCGCCCTTGAGAACAACAAGCAAACCCTGGCGGGGCGGCTTTCAGCGGTCCATCAAGCACTCAATATGTAAGTCTTGACATACTGTGCCTAGTAGAAAGTTTACCGCAGAGAGACGTGCAGTCGAGTCTGGAGCAAGACTTTCCAGCTCTTTGGGTGTGATGGTCTAGCACATGTCGGTAAGGGACAAATTATCCATACATATCATGTCCGACGCACCTTGTCATTCTTCAGCAGAGCAGCTTGATGCAGCTTACGCTCGAGTGCGTTCAGCCTGCGTGCGCTCATGGTGACGAAGAGTTACTAGAGTGACTCACTCGGACGCCAGTCAGTCAACGTGTGCATATCAACGTCAAGACGTAAGGGCCCGATCGAGATCTCGGGAGATTTCAAGTGGATGAGCTGCTCATTCTCACCCGCGAGTCAGACGTACCACAACAGTGGCCACTTCATGAGTGATATGTGGTCGTTGAGGTGGATCGAGACGGCCCAGAGGCTTTTGAGATGTTGAAGCGCTCCTCCAGCCTCAAGGCAGCTCAATACGCGGCTCAGCACTACCATTACGGGGTGAGGCGGCATTGCAAGACTGTAGCACTCGTCGAGACGACGAAGACGGAGCTTTCAGGAGGTGACGCGAGACAACCCCCCGGTATGATTGATGGTGGATAGTCACCAAAATTCTTCCATAGTGTCGTTGCTCGCGGGTGGATAGCACGATGGTTCAAGGGGATGATATTACGCGGTCCGTATACATCACTGCCATCTCTATCGTTCCTCAGTCCAAGACCAGAAGTTGCACTTAGTGCGCGTGGTTCTTGTGGTGCTCTATATGACGCGCGATGAGGGTCAAGCTCACGAGTGCACGACTTGATGCAACACTTACTGAGGTGCACTGCAGGACCAGCGGAGACGAGGCACAAAGAACGATACAATGTCAGTAGCACATCCATCGATCGAGAAGAGGGACGCACTCTGGTAGTCAAGGGTGTAGCCCAGACCGAAGATGCCGAGGATGGTGAAAAGGAGGGGCGCAGCGGACGCGTTCTTGCCGTTGAAGTAGCGCGCCTTGATGCCTCCCGACGCGGTCGTCGGCGCGGGGCCCTTGGGCAGCTTCGAGTAGAAGTTCACGAGGGGGCTGAGGCCAGCACCCGAGCCCGAGGACTGTTCGATGAGCGCACGCTCGCCGTCAGCAAAAACCCTTGTGCTGGCGGACTCCGGCATGAGAGATGACACTCACGAGCAGGGAAGGGGTGGCGATTTTCGGCGGAACGAGGCCACCGAGCTGACGGCGGATGAGAGTGGGCTGCATGATGAACGCGACCGGGCGTGCGAGACAGAAGGTGAGCAGGACGTTGACGGCGACGAGGCTCCTCCTCCGACAGCGCCCACGCTCCTTGTGTGCACGTGTCCCGCATTCTTCCGACAACTTCACTGTTAACGGGGTTAGCATTATAGAAAGCAATACAATTAACTGCCCCGTGGCTGAGTTGGTTACAGCGTCCGACTGTTATATATTCGAAGGATACCGCAATCGGAAGGTCGTGAGTTCGAGCCTCACCGGGGCAGCATCTTTTTCCCGGATCTTCGAGTTGTTTCCCGTCAGAGCAGCCTGTTCAGCGGGTGCAGCTTGCAGTACAGTGCCGGACAGCCGAAGTCGACAAGTCTTCTATCGGCTGAACGGAATTTTCTACGGGAATTCTGACTTCGGAATCATGTTCAGGGAGGGCGAAAGCGTCCAAAAACGCACTTCCGAAGTTTTTCCCGTGACTTTTCGGGGTGGCCAATATTTTTGGCCGGATTTACGCGACCTCAAGAGTATATATATGGGGGCTCCTCTTCCACCAACCACCACCATGGCTGGTTTTCCCACGACTAATACATGTTCTACACCCCCCCACATACCCCCCGACACCCACACCGACACAAAAAGATGCACACGCATGCACACCTAGCGGAATAGCAGCAGCCCAGAGAGGGGCGAGCCTCAGGGCGAGGGAGACATCCCCAGAGACGACGTCGAGCTGGCTTGCCAGCGGAGTGCGCTTTAGCGCTAGGGGACGAAAGAGCGCCGAGGAGTAGCGCTGGCACCACGTGGTGCCGAAAGGGGAAGGAGAGAGCGCTGAGAGGAACCCAGGACGAGCCTAGCAGCGAGCCAGGGGAAGCAGCGCATGGACACCAAGGAGGCGAGAAAAGGGAAAGGAGGAGGAGATGAAACCCCGCAGGAGAACCTAAGAGCTGAGAGACACAAGATGCGAGTAGGCATACAGAGAACGGGGACGATCAGGGGACGAAGTCCATGCTCAGAGAGAGCACGCCTGACCAAGGCTAGAGGCGCTTATAAGGAGTACCTCAGGTAGTGTGGAGACGATAAGGTGCCACCACGCTCGCTCACCCACATCCAAAGGCACAACCCTCCTCAACCTGCTGGCAGGAGAGTGAGGCAGGACCACTACCCCGCAGAGAGAAAGCGTGATGATTTCGTGGAGGTCCCGTAGCCAACCGGGCTTCCCTGTCTGGTGAGCCGATCTGCTAAACGCTGAACAAACTTGTATTTAAAGACCACAGGGGAGGGGAGGGCACACCCCAACACCCAGCCATGATCTCTACCATCTATGCCAAGGAAAGGGGAGCCGCCCCAGCAGACGACCCGCACACCCTGTCCACAATAGCCATCTACTATGATGTTGCCATACCCCCACCAACCCCACTGCACACTGGCCAGAAAGTCAGAATCATCTCCCTCATCCCCTGCCCCACCCCTCCACGACAGGACGGCACGGACCACCCCCCCCACTACACGGTCAGGGAGGCAGGTGTTATTGGCACCATCACCGCAGTACGGACGATGGAGGAAACGATCACCGAGTTTGCAGTGAGGAACGAGAACGACCAGTCCGCGGCGACATATGCGTACCTTGCCATCCAGCACATCCAGGGACAGACAGTACAGCTCAGCCTATGGGAAGCCTTCCTCAGGAGGTTCGTCCTGCAACCCCTCCCCCAGACGCGCAACATCCCGCTCGAAGCCGACGCTGTCATACTGCGCAACATTGCAAGGCTTAGACCCGAAAGAGAACGCTATGCCAGCCCGAACCTCCGTGGGAACAGGCTGGAGGAGGACATAGTGGTGGAGAGCGAAACTAGGCTGATGAGGCGGACGAGGAGGACTCTCAGGGGAGGCGATGGCGACGTGTAGAGAAGAAAGAGCGGGGAGGATGTGTAGAAGAACGAGCGACGAGAACGGACAGTCTATGTTGCGAACGAACGCGAACAGCTCTTGACCAACCTCCCTTAAAACTAAGAGTATCAACACGCATGAATACACGCGGAGAGCGCAGCCCGAAGGCAACGGACGATGATCGCCGAAGGGGGACGATTAACGGGACCGGGATGAACTTGACCGGCAACCGGAAGAGATGAGCCACGAGCCACAAAGCAAACAGACGAAAACACGGCTGACGTGAGCAGCGAAGAGCCACAGACCAAACAAGGACAAAGGGACTGAGAGGAGCCACAAACCAAACAAGGGTCAACAGACCCGAGGAGTGCGCCACAACTAGCGAGAGAACAAATAGAGGACAACAAAGCGAGGAGAAGCCACAGAACAAACAGGGGACAACAGAGGCTGATGTAAGCCACAGCGAGCCACAGAACAAATAAAGAACAACAGAACCTCCGACAGGCAGCGGAGAACGGATAAGCGGGAAGGAGACGCCTGCCACAACGGGAACCACCACTGCGACAACAACGATGCCGAGCAGCACGAGAGCGAAGGGAGGCGAACGACCGCCCCCTAGCGAACGGGAGCGAATCGGGGACACCGAGCAAGAGGAACATAAGGCCAGCCAGCCAACCGTTTCCCCCCCGACTCCCCCGACCACCCACACCGGCCAGCACAGCCAGCGAGACGAACCACCCGATGAGCACACCCTCCCGCCCGCAATCCCCGGGCTTCCCCCCGTCCACGCAGCAGCGGCCAATCCGCATGATGCCGCAACGAGCACCGCTCCTGAGCGGCCAAACGTGGACGCGGCAACAGTCCCAAGGACCGTTGATCACCCCTCCCCCTCCTCCCCAACCAGCCCTCCAGGACGGTAGAATGCCGAGCCCACCGCAGCTAGGCTGGGGGAAAGGACGAGATGTGGGGGTAAGAATTACCAATATTATGACACGCCTCCGAGCTAACACAACTGAAGTCCTCCCGTGTGGATCTCATGGAAAAGCCGTCGGACCTGCAGAATGAAGCTAAGGCTCTGGCGGAGGACGACTATGCTACCCCCACACCGGCGGGAGCGCCGGGAGCGCAAGAGGAACTCACGCTAGAGGTGTTCATGGCGATGGTAGCCCACCAACAGATGCTCGACACAGCGGCAAACGAAGCCCGAAGTGGACTGGACACCTACGAGCTAAGCGAGAACGGCGAGACGAATGCTATGGAGGTAGAGGGTACCCAGCATCACCAGACCGACCTCGTCGGCGATGCCCCCCTCCATGACGGGACGGCGGACAAACCGGCTCGCAAACGACAACGCGTTGAGTCGGAAATGGGACCATACGAGGGGCCGGAGAAGCGAAACGCCGCTGTCACAATCCCCGCCCCGGCGCACCAGCAGACCCCCCTGACGGCCCTGCCTCAGCCCCCCGCATACCCGACCACGACCGCGGAAGAGAACCGACTCTCACCGCTCGAGAGAAGCGGCGCGCACGACGTCCCACCGCCATACGGCACCCCCCTCCCCCCGCCGCCCTTCTGCCCGTCGCCGGAGGGGACGTGTGCTGCGCTGGAAGGCGTCAGAGGACTCATGCTCGAAGGAGTCCCCAGAGGCCCTACCTACGAGGAGAAAGGGAAGGCACGAGAGGCGGGATACGCGGCATCTAACCCTGACCAGGAGACACGTCAACCGAGCGGTATGGTCCAGATCCCTGTGGAGGAACTGGCGAGGCTACGCGAGAGAGCACGGCTGCATGCGGAGGCAGAAGACAGCGACGCGGGAAACAGCACCCCGAGAGCGGACAACGCCCGACACGAGCGAGGAGCCGGAGGCCCCCAGTACTGCGCTGTGCACGGACAAATACCGGCCAGACCCCCGAGGGCGACGCGCCCACCGACCCCTCCACTCCCACTGCGACGCCTTGGGCAAGACAACTCACTTCCTGCGTCGCCGGAGTTCCCGATCAAGGTCAACTGGGGCAACCCGGAGGAGGTAAAGCGATTCAACGCCCTAGTGCGATACGCGATTGAGAGGTCGGCATGGGCCACGGCCTCGACGAACGACCAACAGGCCGCAATGGACGTCGACTCGCCGCAGGAGCAGGACAGGTCGGGAGAGGCCGACGCAGCGAGAAGCGCAGGCACCCTCACGACGCGCACTAGCCTGGAGATCGAACGGGCTGCGCAGATCGCGAGCCTGGGCCTCTCGAAGCCGCTGAGGGATAGGTTCCCGGTGGTCAACGTCCGCTCCCCGAGCGACCGACTCCGCGGGATACCGCCTGCTGCGAAGGAAGCATTCCGCAGCCAACCGAGAGGGACTACAGCGGTCCTCGAGGTCTATGGCGGCAAGAATTACGACCATGAATCGGCGGCGAGAGTCACCCCCGACATCGAGCGCGTGATCAAAACGGCGACGGGGCTCGAAAGCTTTGGCCTTGCGCCGCCGCCGAGGGCAACAGCGAACACTGACCCGACGGAGGTCCCCACGGCCTGGCTGCTCACTGGCCTCACCCCGCGCGCCACCGAGCTCTTAGCGAATCAGCACGCTTTCGCGACGGCAAGCGTAGCGTTCTTCGTATACGACAAACCGGAGGCCATCCCTACGTACCTATTCGCGCTTAAGGGCTTCAACCAAAGCGACACTGCGACGGCGATCAAGATCGTCCAGGAGGAGTTTAGACGAGAACCGATGTATGGCATGCTCCAGAGCCGCGTCGAAGCAAATCCTGTCCTTAACAAGGACCCGGATGCGGCAGACAAGTTGATCGACGAGATCAAGGTCGTCCTTCGCCGTAGTGTGGGCGAGAACGCGTCGAAGGCCCTACTAGGACACGTGTACATGGGCTCTCCGACACTAGCGCCGGACCAGTGGACAGCTTGGATCGACGACATCAAGGAGAAGGGGTTCTCTGATGCGTTCTACAACTTCGAACTGGCCGACGTCAAGCTCCGCTGCGACCGCTGCCATGCAGCAGACCACACCACGGACCAGTGCGAGTACACCCACCTAGGGGACTGGCAGGGAACCTACATCGAACCCCCGACGACCCCCCTGGCCCCCCCAGCGCAGACCGACATAGGGACGAACGAGAACGGGACCACCGCAGGCGCTATGGCATACGCGGGAGGGCGTGGGGGAGGAAGAGGAGCCTTCCGTGGGTACCAGCAGGGCGCCCGACGCGGCTACGGTAGCCGTGACAGGGGTGGTAGAGGATATGCAGGTGCCGGACGCGCGCGCGGCGGCTGAGGAGAGGGAGGGTGTGTCTGTGTACGTGCGCGAGAGAGTACGCACGGCCCCCCCGTTCGCCGAGCTCACACCGCTAGGCCGCTGCGATAGAACTTCTTGACAGATCGA